TTGGCAAAAGTTGGAAAACTTACTAAAACTGAGCTTCTATAAGGCAATGAATATTGTGGAGGGCGTGGCTCATCACATAAAGGTGTATAAAATCTCAAGGGTTTCACCCATCACCACGCAACTTTGTAGGCATATGACCACACATAATCTGAGGGGACCCCTCCATTATTGACCCCATCAAACAAAATGGGGGCGCTAGAGAGCTCATTTCTTATCTAGGCCTAACCGCCATATGGATTTTTACTAAACTTGGTAGATATGTAGAACAGGACGCCTCAAGGTGACTGGAGAAATTTAACTCTAATTGGCAACTGGGTGGCACTATAACAACAGAAAAATGCTTCAAAATGGCTAAAATGCAACCAATCGCTGTGGCTCCCCCTGTGGACCAATGTTTTGGTGTGACTAAGTCATGGTACAGTATGCTGTACATAATCACGGAAACTGTCAGTGTGTCATTCTGTCTTTCCCATGTTTTTCTACTCACTGATGTGGTCAATCTATGTGAAACTGCACATAGACATTGAGGATTGGCATAGGTAGAAGGTGACAAAGCTACCAATGGGTATGGACTAGTAGTTTTAGTTAACAAAATGAACACTAGTCTGTGTGTCAGGGAAGGAAAGTTAGGTTTCACGCTAATTTGTGATTCAGGTCATAATGTTCTTGACACATACAGTAGTTGTCATTCCCTTAAAGGTGATTCTGGTCTTAACTCTGATGTGCTTGCTGTGATTTCCATGCAAAGTGTACTGTGATACTGTTTTCGAGCAGCAGAAGATAAGGATTTGGAAAAGCGGGCTTGTGCCTGAATATATACAGTCTCAGAGTTCAGACAGGAGCGGGGAAAATCTGCACACTGAAAATGAATTTTAAAAAGCTCTCAGCTATCATGAGGTGCCGCTGAACAAGGCAGGTGACTCCCAGCTGCTCCGCTGATGCACGAAGAATACTCATTTATAAAAAGTTTGTTTTGACAGATAAGGTGGAACAAATAATGGTTGCCTTCCCTCAATAATATTTCAAATCAAAATACAAAGTCAGTACCTGTCAAAACTCATATTTATGGCTGCAGCAAGAGGTCACAGGCAACCGGCTCCTTTGTTCGGAGCTGTGAGATAAAAAGGTTGAGCTCTACGTGTGTGTAGGTGAAGCTGAAGCCCCCCTGACAGCAAATACCATTCCAGTCCTGCGTTTCAAAAGGTCATTTTTCAGGAGTGGCATCTCAGTTATTACGGAGCTCCTGAGTGTCCCACCATGCTAACATTTAGACATGCAGACTGCTGCCTCAGCTGGCCTTTCTCTTCTCTTTACTTAGCTATAAAACTGATGAAGCAGTGCTCACTGTGCACTGGTTTGGTTATTGTGCTCGTAAAGGTCTCACCAGCATTTGCATATCATTAGCCATGTCAGTCTGCGTATGTACATGTCTATAATGTCTTTTAGTCCATATCCTGAAACAGATTTTCTGTCTTTCTTTGTCTGTAACTCATCTCCCACATTTCTTCCTCTCTAGTCTCAACAAACCTGCAAAAAAAAATAAAAAAAGAATCTAAATGTCATTTTAAATTAGCTCTCAATCGACCTGATGCATCTGGGATTATGTTTTACTAAGACGGTATAATAAAGGGATTACTGTAAGTCTTAGTTAGCACTCGTCTGGTCCAGGTCACGATCCGGTGAGCAGATGATTTAAACCAAACTTTCATGGCTAATCCAGCTCACATTGAACCCTATAATACTTTACTGGAGAAAATTGAAGGATGAATTAACTTATACGAGCCAAATGTGATAAAGCCGGGCCTGGCAGGGTGGCCAGTAGACACAGAGGCTGCCCAGCAACAGATATTTCCTCATTCAAAAACAGATGCACGGACAAAATAAATCCTTTCCCCAATAAAATAACTGGAAACAAATGGCGAAAAACGCTGTCAGGGTTCGTCAGCTGTTACTGCTTTTAATAGTGTGTGTAACATTGTGTGACATCCAACACCATCTTCTGCAAAACAAAGCTTTAAGAGTCCCATGTAATTTCAGATAAGGGTAGGGAGTGAAAGCCTGACAGAAACAAAATGACTTTCAACATGTTTATCTTCTTCACCTAGCCAAATGGGAAAACTGTAGACAGAAGAAATGACATCCTGCGACGGCAGAAAGCATCTCGGAAAAATGGAGTCTCATCAGAAAGAAACACAAGTACGCAATAACAACACCACCGTCATTAGATGGAAGCTGTTATTTTCCTGGTCCGAATTGTTTGCTGCAATTGCAACAAGGATGATGACGCCTAATTTGGGAGTCACATATTGACATCTGAAACCACTACATGTCAAGCCTTTGGCTCTGCAGAGTGAGGTTTCATTACTGCGGACCTTGTGGGTCGAGAATTGAGAGATAATTCGATGCATCAGCAGCCAGTGTATGATTATCTGCAAGTGTCCTGTCAGAGTGTCCATGAGTCAGATCAGCGGGTGCTATCGCTGCTCCATCATTTTAAATCGGCTGAAATAAACTAATGATCAGCTTAATGTGTTAATAGCTGAACAAAGTGAATGTGAAAGCAGAGAGATGTGTTGTAGGGTTTTGTTCTCATTTGATGAAATACGGTGCGGGAAACGGTTGCTGTACCCTGTGTATTTGTATCGGTATGTGTGTGTCATTTAGGGTGTAATATGCGGATGGGTATGAGATCATAGCCCTGTTTAAGAGTCAGCTGCTCTGTGTGTGTGTGTGTGTGTGTGTGTGTGCGTGTGTGTGTGTGTGTATATCTCACTGTTTCCACCTCACATGCTGCTGACTCACCCTGCTCAGTGCACAGATGACACTGGAAGGATGTAGTTCTGTGCTGTGACAGTAGCTATTTTAGATTAGCGTATTTTATGGTGGATTGGGTGCACAAGTAAGATTTATTCAAGAGAAGGAAAGTAAATAAGACATTTGTATTTAAATCTTGTCATGAATTCAGTTGTCATGGGCGGATATATGGCTGATATGTATTCATCTTGGGTGTGACACTGCCTCTGCGGCCACAACTGATTGTCATGGAGAAGGCAAATTTGCAAATCGTAGGAGAGAGAAGGAAAGACCCGCCCTACTTATCTTGTGATTGGCTAGTACTTGTTGCCTTCGCTGGTTGGGTTGGTTGGGTTTAGGTGAGACGAGTGAGGCAGAGTAAGATGGGCCATTCCTTTGCTATCCCAGGATTCACAAATTCACATGGGCGAGGCAGACTCGATTTTTCCTAACTGGTCACTACCGACCAGCGTTTGCGCCTGGAGCTAATGTCCACACTGATGCATAGCCATCCCAACATGCCTGTTTTAGGAGTGCAGCAGAGCAACGTAAAAATAAACTAAAATGTTGAGCGATATTGAGAAGACGTGTCAATTTCAGCCTAAATATAAGCGTCTATCTTGTCTATAGGACTCACTCGCCATTGTTATCATTACCCCTCTTTGGTTCCGGCACTCTGCTTCAGACCACAACAGCTTGACAGTCAAGTCCCTCTACAGTGCTAGTCCGTTTTTTGTTTTTCTTGAGTGAGAGGTTTAAAAGGCTTGACCCAGGCAAGTCTTTAGTCGGTCCACTGCAGCTTTCTAAAGTCTGAAAACATCAGGGTTGTCTCAGCTTAAGCTTGAATGCTACCAATTCGTAACCAAACACCTGGGTCTAATTAAAGACACTATTGAGTTGCATAATGCTGGATCAGCGAACATTAAAAGTGTTGCCATGCTGATCCTAAATCAGCTGTTGCCAGACACTTTTCAGGTGGTAATGAATGTGGCATTGACATGATGGTACCTAATTTAAATCTATTACCTTGAACCACTCCAATGGCTTAAATGAAGAATTGGATATGACCTGTTGTCTATAACTCATTTTATTGTCTCTCATCACCAACTAACCCCACTTTTCAGTGTTCATTCCATTACTGTGTATGAACACCAGCGTTTGTTTGAGACTGTCTTTTGTAGTGTTTGCTGTTGGACTTGTAATGATGTGGCGTATTGGTAATTGTCTTCACGTGTGCTTAATCAAGCTGCTGACGACTGACCAGGTGCACCTGTAAGAGGGACCTATGTATGTGCTGAACCAGTATGCTTCCCTCCGATATATACCCACTAAAGCTCTCCCATTGTTCTTTAACCATATCATTTCCAGGCTAACAAATATCAGAACAATTTTTAGTTTCCTTCCAATTTCCAACATTTGATCTAGAGCTTTATCCGACAGTGTCAGTTGAATCAGATTTGGCCGTTTAATACGAATATTAGACCATTCTTTTTTGTTTACATATAAAGCTTCGTGGGACATTAAATGTGGCAGTAAAAAAAGCGGACACTGCTAAGGACGGATCAGAAATGTGCAACATTTTTTGCCAACACTAGATGCCAAACAAAAGCCAGAGACTGTGTCGTATTAAGTATCTGTGAGCTGCAAATTCCAAGCAGAAGAGGGAAGATAATGTTATCTCAGAGCCTTACGGTGGAAAGTTTATCCTCCTCTTTGCTGCTGCATCACAGCTTCCAGTACCAAAGAGTAGCGTGAAACTCAAGAGCGCTCACAAAGCAAAGCAAAATCTGGGGACCAGAACGTCCCCTGAAGTGAACTGCACAGCACACTGACTGAAAAGAACCAAAAAACTGCTTGACTTGAAGCAGTATCATCGACTGAGGGGTCAACTATTCAAATCTCCAACTTTCAAGGGGCAGCCCGAATTTGATCCCTCCAAGTTTTCATTGTAGGAGTTTGAAGCTCTTTCCAACATCATGGAATCAACAGGGCACAGATTATTACGCCAGCTGTTACTCCAAATGCAAATCTACTGTGGCACCACAGTTTTGTCATCTTAATGATCACACTCTCACTCTGTTTACTCTCTCTACATGATTTATGACCATGTAGCCTCGAGCCTGCATGTGAAACGTGTGTGCTTTGGTGCCTGTGTTTGCCTGCTCCTAAAATATCTTTCCTCTCTGTGTCTCTTCGTTGTTTTCCAGATGTACCACTCTGACCACGGCGTTGACTTCCCTGACCTCTCCTTCCAAATCCCTGGCAGCCCTGCAGAGCTGGGCCCAGCAAACAGAGAGTGAACGCAACCCTCAACAAACCACACATCTACCTTCCCCCTTCACCCACACAGGGCCTCTCTCTGCTCCAGTCCCACCCTCCCTCCCTCCTCCTCCTGGACCATGGACAGCCCTCCTAAGCTGTCAGGTGAGACCCTGATTGTGCATCACATCCCCCTGGTGCACTGCCAGGTGTCAGGCGGGCGGCAGGGTGGTTGCGGGGTCTCACTGAAGAGGAACAACCCGTTTAGCCCGCCGGAGAACCTGGGCTTGAGTCGCACCACTTCACTTCCCGAGAGGGATGTCCTTCAGAGAGAGGCTCTGCTCTACAGCAGCCTGATCCAGACCTCCAGCGGCTCCTGGGCCTCCCACAATGGGGGAAGAGAGAGAAAGGTTGGCGGGAGAGGAGGCAGCACGGCGAGTGATGATTCATCGTTTACCTCGAGTAATTCAGAGGACCAGCTGATTACAGCTCACACATTACCCAGAGCCAAGCCCAGGAACAGGAATCCGTTGCGTCATAATCCATTCCTGTTGAATACCGAAGACGAGGATGAAGAAGAAGAGGAGGAGGACGGTGACAACCTCAGTGGTTACCTTGAAGACTCCTCTTTTCACCTCCACAGTGACACTAACTCCGCCCTAGATGACGGGCTGACTCCTTTCCACTTACACGACCTTGGCTTTGCTTCAGAGCCCTTTCTTTTGCACAGGTCAGTGGGTGGAAGCAGTCGGGAGTCCCTCAGGGCAGTAGCCTCGGATCTCTCCGCCCACCTGGAGGACCTGGACATTCTAGGAATGCGCCACGGCAGCAGCGGCTCCAACATGTCTATGGATTGTGGAGAGCAAGACTGGGGAGATGACGATGGGGAGGATGAAGATCATCCTATGAGGTGTGGGCGAAGCTCCTCCAGCTCCTCCACACAGCACTGCTCCTGCTGTGCGCTCTCCCAGAACTACCCTCAGCACTTCCCTGAAGCCTTCTCGGAGCCATTCTTGGAGTGCCAGCAAGGCTATGGCAGCGACTCCTCCTGCAACAGCTCGGATGGCGTGCTTGTGAACTTCAGTGCCATTTACAACAAGATGAACAACAGTATCCCAGAGAAGCCACCTGTCTCTGGCCACACCAACCTCAACAGCTCCACCGACCACTCCTGCACCTCGTCTGTTTCTGATCCACCAGGAAACCACCAAGACTCAAATGGAGGGGCTTTCTATTTGGACCTTCACACCTCCCCGACTGAACCTCCCCTCTCACAGCAGCAACCCTCCTGCCTCGGCGGCACCTTCCCTCTCATCCGTGAACCAAACTTGTCCACCTCCTCCACCTGCTCCTGCGCTGTGGAGCACCAGGGAGCTCTCGACCTCGACGCCAACTGCAACTCCTACCACCCTCCACATTCTGGGTCATCTGGAGACCTTGCTTCCTGTCTGCAGAGTCAGGCGCGCCTGGTTGTCGCCACGCAGAACTATTACAAGCTGGTCACCTGTGACCTTTCGTCCCAGTCGTCCCCGAGTCCAGCCGGGTCCTCAGTCAACAGCTGTTCAGATGAACACAGCAAAGGCAGCCCCACCCCGACACAGCCCAACGAGTACTTCCTGTTCAGGCAGAGAGCTGACGAGGAGGGTGTGCAAGAAGAAGATGAAGATGTAGAGTCATCTAGGGTGAGTGGAGAATCCTATCTTAATAATTTTGACGATTTGTAATCAATCAGGATATTTGATGTCTATAAAATGGCTATTACTACATGCACAGGTCCACACACAGGCTGCCTGTAATGAGACAACATTTATTAACATTCAATGACGTTGTCTACTTTTCTAAAAATGAAAATAGGGGTTTATAGAAAAACATGTATATTAAGGTTTTAAATAAAAGTTCTACTTTGGTATCAACATCAAAATTCAGGTATCAGAGTTGCAATATAAAAGATATCAAACAATACCAAGCTCTAATAATGACATGTCGATAATGTCATTATTGTATGTCTGCAGTATTACACAAGAAACATAATTTCAGTTAACTGTGCTCATCTGTTTTGAAATATATCATATATCATGATCCAGGTGCTTCGGGTGGTTTTGGAGTTGATTGATTTGCAGGATGAATGGCTGTCGCTTTTAAAAAATGACATCAAAAATCCCCAAGCAAACATTCCCCAAATAAACAGGCCTTTACAAAAACAAAATTTAAACCAGTGGGCTCCTGAGATGCCAGGTCAGGTGGTGCATTAGAGTGACTCAAAAAATAGGAAACAAGGAAACTAAAATAGGAAACCAGGATTTGCTAGAAATGGCTCTAACACACATGTTACAATGCCACTTAAAGCCAATATACAAACTTGAATTATTGGCGTCTCCTAGCTGCAGGGACTCACAGAGGTGACACTCGTGCGTCTTGTGGTGCAGTTGTTCACATGGGAAACATAGAGTCCTTGGAAACAGATTTGCTTATTAACTGCAGCATTTGTTTTAAAGTTGAAGTGAAGATTACTCATTTGAAGAATTCAGATGATTACACAATCCAAAAAAACACAAAAACATTTCCTCTCAGTCTTTGATTTCTACTCAAGTTATCTTGTGTCTTAAAAAACACAGCTTGCCGCGGGCGGTGTGCATAATTAATCAGGTCCAGGCAGTACATTTAGTTAATTTACACAAACAAGTTATCATTAATTTAAATGATATGATAAGAAATGCAGTCTGAGTCTGTAAGACAGGGAAAGTGGAAGAAATCAAAACAGCAAGCAGAGATAATAGTGATTTGGTCAAATTAAATCAGACTCAACAAGATGGGGAACAATGCAGAAACAACAAAAAGCATACTTAGACACTGAAGGACGTGTGACGATGACAATAACCCTGAATCTGAAATAGCCATGACACTGGTATTAGTCTGGCACTGGCTCACTTTAGAACACAGCCACTGTCTGGGGTTATCTGATATCATGTCTGGGGATTATTTTAGTGATGTAGAGCTGAAGGATACTAATGTCAGTTTAGGACCCATGTTTTTGTTTCCAAGTGAGTAATGGGAACAACAGTTTCTAAAATTGGCCAAGAATAGAATAGAATAGAAACCTTTATTGTCATTGTATTCTTGATACAACGAAATTGGAGAAGCAACTCCATATGGTGCAAAAACAAATGCAACAGTCAATCCTCCATCCACTCTCATTACTCATACAACATAAACACAAAAGGCTACCAAAGACAACATAAGCAGCTATCAATCCTCCAATAACAAAAGTGCGCAGCGATGAAACATGCTGCAGTGTAACCACTGGGGACATGTTCCCATCGCCAATGAATGTGCACTAAAATCACTTGTTGTTGACACTGACGGGCTCAGATTGTTATTTGAAGTGTCTCACAACAATATGGAAAGGATCCCTAGAGAGATGGACCTTTTTGTTTAAGAGTAAGATCCTTTTTTTAACCAGAAACAGCCCTGAAAGCACTGTCTTCAAACCCACCAGACTTCATATGAATAAACAATAATTTTATCTTTGTTAAACACATTTTACTCTAAGTCGACAGAAACAAAATAATAATGACAAAAAAAACGTCTTCTTTCACCATTCCACTGTTCAAACAATCATGAACTCTGGTGTGGTTGAAATAAACCCTTAATTCACCCAGTTAAAGGTGAAAATGTGTCTCTATACACACAAAAATTACTGTTTATTTAAATGGACTAGGGCTGCCTCCTAATAGTCAACCAAACGTTTATTGACCAAAAACAAAATGTGAAACTCTGTTAGGAGCTGCACCTTGTCAAAATAAATCAAAACCTATATGACTGGACAATGTGAGCATTTAATTTGAAAGGACAGACACAGGAAGTATCCACGCTCAGCAGTCATGTTAATTTCCAGGGCTGGTACCTGCGGTTATTCCACAGGCTAGTTAATAACATGTCGGGCAGGAAATCCAAAGTGTGGGATCATTTTGAGAAGGTGAAGGAAGAACCCAAGGTGATATGTAAACTCATCTTCATTGGTCGACTACAAACATGACGTATCATCTGAAACATGGAAGTAGCTACATGCCCATTAGCCCACAGCGTCATTAACAGGCGGCTCGCTCAGTGTGTGACGTGCACTTGTAGATAAAATATAGGCCTATATTAATGAAGGTTCATTAGTACGGTTTTGTATTTCTCTGTAATGTAGCACAGTGTTAACAATGTTACTGATACTATTCTACTATTATACCGAACCACAGGGGCGTCGTTTCAGCAAAAGCTAAGGTATGGCAATATGACATGATGTCACAGAGCTACTGATGATGGAGTTTCAAAAATATGAATATGAAATAAAACTTCACTTTGGTCTTTGACCTGTCAGAAGTACATACTATGCAATTGAAAACTGTTTCAAAGGACATGAAGCTGTTTCTCACATTCATAATACCTCATGTCTGCATGTAATGCACGACTTGGTGAGAGCAGTGAAAACATCGGACCTATTTCGGCACGTATTTCAGCTCCACGGACAGCGAGCGGATGTTTAATTATCATTAGTCATGTGTTTAACTTCACAGAAAATAAAGAAAATAAATGAATTACAAGCTCATTTCTAGAAGATAACCAAGGGGTCCGGTGTATGAAACACAGTAAAACAAAGGCCACTTTGGTACAATACTGTATAGGCAAATTTACTGGAGTGTCTCCAGAGACCGAAAATACAAGCTTTACATGCAAACATGAAGAAAAACCACACATACAATCAGACAAGCTTCAAGACATCATTTAGACAGGCTGTATACAGCAGCAGAGCAAAAGGCTTTTACAACACATAGATAACTCACATAACTCATAACTCACGGAGGAGCGAAGTGGCGAACAATTTGATTCAATAACACTCGTATTCACTGATGAGCATATTATTGACCTATTTAAGTGCAATACAATGAAAACAACCAGCCAGTGCGCCTCGAGTAAGATGACTACAGAACCTCTCTCACTTTTTTTTACTCCCGATTCCAAGGTATGGTAGCTGCCATACCTCGCCATACCTAAATGACGCCTATCCCGGACCAGCTTCAAAACTGTTGTTCCCATTAGTCACTGAGACAGGAAAATTGGGACCAGGTTGCAAAAGCCAAACTTACCCTTTAAGAACCCTTCAAGTAATTTGACCGTAACCATGGTTGGTAATGTGTTTTATCTGATAAACTATTGCAGAAAATCTGACGTGTCTTTTCTCTCCTTGTTTCTCCTCATTCAGCGAGATGATGAAGGTGGTGATGATGATGATGATGATGATAAAGAGGAGGAGCAGGAGGAGGAGAAGAAGAATCAGCCAGCAGCTGCTGGGACTGAAGCTGCTCCTGCCGTGATTGAAGGCCAGGTGTACGTCAACATCACCCCTCCTGTGGGCGGCCGGGGTGTCATGGGAGCAACCTCAGGAAGCCGCCCCCGTTCTCGCAGCTACGACCGCAACCTGGACAAGTCTCCATCTCCTCGCCTCGGATCTCTCGAGCGCATGTTGAGCTGCCCCGTCCGGCTCAGTGAGGGTGCCGCCCCGACCCAGACCCCGCCTCCTCCTCCGCGGGTTACCTCCTTTGCAGAGATCGCGAGAAGCAAACGGAGAAATGGAAGTTTGGGGGGATCGCCGTCGATGAAGGCGGCTGCAGACCCTTTCTCCTCCACTTACTCCACCCACTCCCACTCCTCTGTGGATTTCTCTCCGATCCTGGAGCAGCGTGTGGAGGCTGACAGTCAGAGCCTGTCACCTGTGCCCTTTACAAGGTGTTACAGTCAAGGCAGCATTGAGCGACACCTGGAGGGGGCGAGGGAGACCAGGGCCAAAGCTGAAGGTACGTCATGTCCTACTAGATATATTTTATTTATTTATTAAGTGGTTTATTTAAGAGGGACAGTGCACGTCAATAAACACTGCTGTATTCATGCACCAGAGTTAGCTAAGAGCAAAGCTGGATATCATTTGAATTGAAAGAATTACGATGATTTACTAATACCAGTAAAAGTGATTTCAATACCAATAGAGTGGAAGCATTCAGCTGCATAAAATGCCACCAGACGCCACATGTGCGTAGTATAGCCTTACCCCTGAACATTGGGGTGGCATCTCAGCACACTAACTTTCCAGTGTCAGATACACCAAGCCTAACTTCACACCACAGACTATATGGGTTGTAGCTGCTGCAGTATTGGGCCAGTCACGATTGCAGTGATTGGCTTCAAGCAAAACCATTCAAGTAGTCATTTTTTATAGATCTGGGTACAAAAATTATTGAATGCAGGCATTGTTCTGTCGATGTCTTGAAGGTATCGAATATCGATACCCAGCCCTAGCTGCTCAGAGGCTATTTTTCATCCCAGGACATATGTTAAATGTAGGAACTATTTTCTTTCTGCCAAGCAACACCCACCAACCGTATCACTGCGCAAAAGCGAGCATGCATCTACTCATAGATGAGAGGCTTGTGCTTGTGACAGCGCCAGATGTTTACATTTATAGCGTCCTCCTAGGCAGACGTGCAACTTTAGCTAGCTCAGTGGTGCTACGTGAGCTAGCAGTAGATGCACAGTGAATTAGCAGGTGTTATAAGGTAGAGAGAAAATAGTTCCTACTGGGAACTGCTCACAACTGTGGTTTAACTGGAGTAGCCGGGTCATGATTTCTGGAAAGAGACATTGCTGTTGAGTTTTTGTTGAGTGCCATTTAGTTCCATTTTGTTGGAGAAAAGGCAGACATCTCCACGGCCGATATCGTCAATACTCGGCAACTCAAACCAAAACAATCTAGACTGATGAATAGCACTACAGGTAAGAAGAAAAATAGGTATTTTTGATTTTGGTGTTAACTGTCTCTAAGAAAAATCTGGATCAGTTGAAATAAAACCGTACAGTTAGAAACCATTAATACTTGTCGATCAGTGTGTTCATTACAATCTGCTTTTCTTGCTTTATCTACTTCAGCTCCTGCTGATTAGTAATTGACCTTAATTGACTTGCTTCCCTTATTTAAAATAAAACCTGCCTTGTGGCTGCGCTGCTGATCGTTAATGGAAATATTGGTCTTTCCACCTTTCCCTCGTTAAATTTATTTTTTTATTTATTTATTTATTTTTTTTTAAAGTTTAAGAAAAACGTCTGTCACTACTGCAGCTTTATGGCTGTATCTCTGGTTGTATGATATGTGTATGTTTTTTTACACTCTATGTTTAGACTTGCTTCGTGTGTGTGTGTGTGTGTGTGTGTGTGTGTGAGAAAGTCTCCTTGTGGCAGGACGTATAGATGTGCTGAGAGCAGAGTGATGCAGAGTGTGTATCCTCAGCTTTAGAGTGAAGGGTTGAAGTGGGCCAAACGTGCTCTGAATAACAATCAGGTGAGAGAGGAGATAAAGGTGCAGAGAAACCCCCCCGCTGAGCTCTACATCAGCATACTGAGCTGTGTGTGGGTCTGCTGTGTGTTTGCATAGGTATGTGTCATTCTGATCCAGCGAGCCTGTAGGCCCGACTCATTCCCAAAAACAAGGGAAGGTCGGAGAAAGTTACGGAAGCTTCTTTGTGCTGACGGGAAGAATGGTGTCACCTGTGTTTGCCGTTGTCATTGACAGGTGCTATGACTTCAATCATGATGACGGTTTATTCAAATGGTGATGAGAAGCGAGTGGCTGATATCCTACGTGACAAGAATCCATTTGTAGCTTTTTATTGTTTCCCAAAATTAAGGAATCTGTGAATTGTGACTCAGCAGCTGACAGAGTAAAATGCAGCACAGAGACCAGAAGCAGCTGCCAGTGTTTGTATTTAGTTATTTTATTAATCCAAATTTATTATCTCTGCCAGGCTTAAACCTGGAGGGGACTGTGTGTTTCGTTGTGTGTGTTTGTCCGTAGCTAAATCTGGCAAACTACTGGACCAATCAGCCTCATATTTTGCATGCGCATGAAAGACTGCACGCTCAAGACCTGTCATGGTTGCGTAGATTTACAGTTGTTAAAAAACCTGTTTTATACCGTCATTGACTGCTGACTCCTCACTCTTCTTAACTGGTCTGTAGGGGCCGCAAGTTTTCTGGAAATTTGCTCCTCTAAAAATAACAAGCCTCACTGTATGCTGCAGGCCACATTTTGGCCTTCAATGTGGCTCAGATACGTATATATCTATAGAAAACTTTGGTCTGATTTCAAACTGCAGCTTCTGCATATCGATTCCATACCCGATATGTCATAATCCACTAAAGTTAGGGATGATTTGAGATGAATCAGTCTCAGTTTTGTCATCTTATCTGCCATTTTTACTGTATTTAAAAAACAACAAAACAATAAATTGTTAGGACAATAAAGCCTCCACATAATAGCATTTTAAGTCTTGTGTGTGATTTATCCTGGCTTCATATGAGCAGAGGAAATCTCTGCTAGTCGCTAGGCTAATTTATACAATGAAAAATGCCACAGGCTTGTGCTAAAAAGGTTAGCATGTTGTATTTGTGGGGGAAAATGTGTCCAGATAAAGACAAGTGTTTGTCTGTGAATGTTGTGAGTTATAGGGAAGCTTGTAGGTGTTACTGCACAACAGCCTAGGCTCTGCATAGAGCTGATGCATAAGAGTAAATCCCACTTAAGGACGCCGGGAAACACTGTGGTCTGGCAGCAACCTGGTTTTGTTCTGTCCTCCGTGAACATGCTGGGAGCATTTCAGAAGTAGAGCATTTTGCTTTTCAGATTCTTTGGACTAGCAGATTTTGTTTATTTGGTGACATTTCCTTAATATTTGTGCATCTACCCTTAATAAGTAAGCAGGTTATGTAGGTAAATGGTTTCTTATTTTGTCTGTCATAATTGTTTATTATTGTTATTTCCTACTGTTGTGCTGTAGCCAACAGACCAAGTTAATACCGTTAAAAGCCGAGTTATAAACAGCATGAATCAGAGATTTGTGGTTATTAAAAATCTTAATTATATTGTACATATACAGTACCTGTTAGGAAAACTCTATCTGCTCTGTGCAACGTGCTGCAAGTCCTTAAAAAGTATTTTTATGAGTTACTGGGACGTTTCTGAAATTTTTCTAGCTGAGGAAGTAATTGATGTTGAAATACTTCACATACCACCTTTGACATACCCAGAGGGGTCAGATGGTGGCAGCAGAACAGCACTCAGTCATAACAGAGCAAGAAGTTATATCCCTGCCACATCACCCCCTCCTCACTCAAAAGCAGCCATAAAAGTTGTTTGAGTTTATTGTTAGGCCGCCACCTATAGTGGCTGTAGTTATTATGATGGGACCAGAGGAGAAAGTCAGGTGATGCAGTGTAAAGAGTACCAAAGTCTGCATAGGGAGGAGGTCTGGGTGGTTTTACAGGTCAAACAAATACAGGACTTTGACCCAGGAGACTGCTGATTGCATCTCTTGTGAAACCAAAAGTCAACGTAACAGACATGTTTATTTTAACTCAAATCATAATATTTGTTTCTAAACTTAACCAGGAAGCTTTTGTGCATAGCTATGACTATTTCAAAACATTAAAAACTGTGACCGTATGGTTATATATATATTGATTTTGGGAGTCACCAAAGACCTATTTTTTGTTTAGGTATGAGGACGTGTTTCACACCCTGTTGTGCTGTTCTGTAGCTACAATCTGACGTCTCTGCAGAGGGAGACATGGAAAACTAAATTCTTTAATCTGTAAAAGATATGATTTATTAATTTTAGGCCTGACCCGAATGCTTGAAAGCTTTGAAGCTTAAATCATTGCCATTTTATTCAGCGTTTAAATCAGTATTTGAATGAATGAAACATTGTTCGCAATAGTCCACCTTCCACCTTCTCTTCTCTTTCTCCATCACTCTCTCTCGCATAAATGTGTGCCAAGTCCAACTAAAGTCATTATGATCAATTACTATTACCCCCCAGGTCCCGTTGCGTCCCATCAAAGCTTTAAATATTCGTATGTAATTATCTCTGAAGCTTTAAAGTGGTATTCGAGACAGCCCTAATTTATTACAATAATCGTTGAGTAAAACTAACTAAAAACAATGCTGCTTAATTTTTATGCACACATTTTAGTTATTGGTTCAGTATTGTGGCCTGGGGTCTCATTTATAAACATTGCATACGCACAAAATGAGGCTTGAAAAAGGCGTACTTCAGATCCAGTGAGCACCTGTTGGAAAAAAAAACACGTTAAAGCGTTTTAGATCTTCAGTTTGTTTGGAATGAAAAGAAGAAGTACTTTGTATAGTTAGGTGTAAAAATAAATGGAAAAAAATACAGGGAAGTTAAATATGTAAATCCTAAAAAGAGGCACTGAGCAATCAGACTCCACATATTTATAAGTAGAAGATATAGTGACTGGGTAAATACATAAATAAATACTGGAAGTAGAGTGTCTGAGGATGTCTTGGCCAACCTCACCTGGCAGATGAACAACACAGGAGGGTCGTTAGCTTCATTAATCTCACCTGGGCCTTCCAGGCTTTAAAAGCAGCCCCATGTGTTAACTCTCCCTCGCTGTAGCAGACATGTTGTCTTTTGGTTTTGACCGTCAACACCTTCACAGTGCACTTGACACACATCCATGCACGGCTTTTATTATTTACTTTGCTGAGCTCCGCACTCCATTGTTCTTTTCAGTTAATCTTAAGTAAACCTTTGGACTCGTCACTGCTTGTCACATTCATAGAGTCAGTTTGCGACAATATATACAGTAAATAAACCAACTAACATTTATTTTGGGAACTCAGTGGCCAAGATACAGATTAAAGACATCACACTGCTGCCCACAGTTTCTATAAACAGTGATCTCTGTGAAGTGCAGTGCTGCAAGACCTCTAATTAATTAG